GGCATCCGTGAATTAGAATTGATTGAAATGGCAAATTATATCACCTGGAAGAAATGGATGTGTAGCAGAGTCAGGACAGGCATTCCCAGCCTGCAGTTTATTAGCTGTTTGTGCCCTTTGAAACCAGTAAAGGGATTTTCAAATGAAAGCTCTCCTTGACAGAAAGAAGACTGAGCCTAAGGAGGCCAAAGCTGTCAACAAAACACAATCCAGAGGCACAGGTAGTTGAAGTCTCCCAATCCCTGCTGCTTCCCTGGCCCTTCAAATGCTGTAAGGCAGCAAGAAGCCATGCAGAGAAATTGCAGGCTGCCTGTGAAGGAGGTGTAAGCCTCTGTATCAGCACAAAATGTCACACTGCCAAATTAGCTGGGGGCTCAGTTGCACTGGGCTTGATTTGTACACCTGGAGCTAACTTCACTCTGCACTTTTGAGAAAGTTGCTTCACATGCTACAGTATTTCTCATTTTCGAAGCCTCAAAAGCATTGGCAAAATTTTAGAGTTATGTGGTGGGAGGTATTTTACCAGATTCATCCAGATCCATGTTGGGCTTTTTTTTCTGCATGAAAAGTACTGAATAAATCTAAGTTGTTAGTGACTGGGGAGTGCAGAGACTGCCTGAAGGCAGTGAACAGATGTGTAGGCTGAGTGAGAAATGATAAGAGAAAACTCAGCTTAGAGTGCTTGGGCTTCGTGAGACTTCACATTACTTAGACCATTAACAGAGGAATAGAGAGAAATAAGAAATGAGAAATGTTATATATAAGGACTTAACATTCATGCCTGTAATTCTTTTATGTTACCCTTCAAAGAGGGGATGATGCACTGTTGGCCTCTTGCAGAGCAATGCCTTTGTTAGGCCCATTTAGGACCCAAAGGTACTTTACTTGTATTTTTCAGTATAGGCTCTATTTACAATTCTATAGATTCCAGTTCCATTCAAAATTCCATTTTTCTCCAGCAAGGGAAAATCCTTTGGCTTTTTACACCTGTTCTCAATAATAAAGCACCTCTGTGCTTTAAAAGAAATGGAATAATTTTCAGGGTTTAATGAGCTTTTGCCTTCAACAGCTACAAATAATCTAATTATCTAACCACTGTGCACACTGGATGATTTAAGAATTAAAGACACAATTAGAATCTGTTACAGTAATTAGAATCTATTTTAAACCAATTGCCTGTGGCATTACATGGTCTAGTAAAACATAGGCTTCTGGCTAAAAGCTCTTCTTCCACTAAATGCAAAAACAAATGTTACCACAGTTTACTTTTTTTAAACTGATAAAATCAAGATTTCAGAAGTGAAGTAAACTAAACTATCTGTGCTTTTTTTCTGCTGTTTTTAAAATGCTTCATATGTCACTGAAGCCAATGGAAGGAGGATCACTGATTGCCTTTGGTTAAAATTGACAGAATATATTTGTGTATTTAGTGAATAAAAGGAAAATTACAAATTTAGGGAATGAAAGTGTAATTAATTGGGTACACTAGAAGTTATAATCTAGGTGAGTTGGGTTCAGGCCCAACAAATCAGCTAGAAGTATTTGCAGGAGTCAGTGAGCAGGTGGATAAGGGCAATCCAGCTGATATAACGTTTCTGGATTTCCAGAAGTCCCTGACAATACTTTTTATCAAAGGTTGTTAGTGAAATTAAATCCTAATGACAATAGAAGAAAGATCCTCTTGTTGAAAAAGAATGGGTTGAAAGAAAAGTGGTAGGATTAAATGGTTTGTTTCCATATTGAGGGTGGTAGAAGGCAGCATCTGACAGCCCTGTATATTCATCAATGCTGTTCAGTTTAGCCTGAGCTGTTTGCATGGTCACTGGAACTGATTAAATGAGCTGCCAACACACAACTCTCTTCTGCTTCCCCCTTCTTCCTCTGCTAAAATGAACCACTGTACTGGGGAACATAACACCTTTCAGTTCTTTCTCTTGCTTTTTACCCTCCATCTCATACTTCACAAGAGTTCACAGGTCACCAGCTGAACGCAAAACTGTAGGAACATAGGGAATTCAAAGGGTGTCTGTTTGAGGCTGGAGAGCAAAACCTTGGATCTGAATCTGTAAGTGAGATGGCAGCTACACCAGGTGCTGTGGAAGGTGTGTTGTGCCCAACACCAGCTCTGCCTGTGCCAGATATCATAGAATGGTTTGGGTTGGAAAGAACCTTCAAGATAATCTCATTCCAACTCCCCTGCCACAACTAGGGACACCTGCCACTAGACCAGGATGCTTGGAGCCCCATCCAATCTGTCCTTGAGCACTTCCAGGGATGGAGCATCCACAGCTTCTCTGGGCAATCTGTGCCAGTGTCTCACCATCCTGACCTCACTCATCCCAGTGAGAGTTCTTAGCCACAGCTGTGTGAAAATGCAAAGAGTTAAATAATTTATAGCCCTGTCACTCCAAGTAGCACTGAGAGCCTGGAGACTGGTCAATGATACATGGAGCACCTCTTTGTTCAGAAAGCATTTCCTGTTAGTAAGTGATATAGAAAGCACCTTCAGAAATCCATTTCCTACACATTCCTAGCTGGAAGGTGGCAGATCAGGAGGATAAGGGTTAATGACTGACTGACAGGTTGCATGGGTGATCTGGGATCTGTCAAGATTCCTTACAATACTGGCATTTTTCTTTATTCTAGTAATACAGAAATATGGCACAGTGCAAACTTAGTCCAGCCTGGCTCATCAGTTTCCTATAGCTTCTTGCTATGTGTTTGCTTTCTTATCTGTCCTCTGGAGCACATCCCATTTGCCATAGCTTGTTGCCAGGTTGGAAACCGACCAGTCTTCCTTCAGCTGGTCTCCCAATGCCCCTTGCTTCCATGAGACTAGAAACCAGCTGAGCATCATTTCATTCATGCCCACCTAAGTGTGCTTGCCTACATTAACTTGTACCTATTTAACCTTCTCACTGCTTTGGCGACATGAAATGTGTGAATGAGATGGAGTTATCCTGTTATCGTTCCTATTTTCCTGACATCCACTGTTTCTTTACACATGTCCTTATCCAGCTGCAGTAAAGCAGGACTCCGTCCTCTTCACTTATGCCACACTTGAGAGGTTTCCAATAAAATAAGGAGTTGTATTTTTCAGAGTTCTATAAATAGGGACCACATTGCTATCACTTGCCATGATGATAACAAGTAACATCTGTGACTCATCTCAGCACTGTTAGAAGATAGTTTCTCCGGAGAGCAGAAAAGGTGCTTTTACAATGGATATGTTACTAGGTATTACTGCAAAAAAAGATGTAACTTTTGAAACAAAATATCAAGCAATCAAATAAATAAACCCTCCTGCCACAGGACATAAACCATGTTCTAACTAGTAGGGCTAAAATAACACGTTTTTTCCAGATTCCTTTTAATAGTGAGCTGATTCAAATACTCTGTCAGTAAGCCCCTGTCTGAGAAAAGATGCTGAGCAGAGTGGACCACTGGTTTGCCCCTGGAATGTTCATTCTGATCATTCTACGAATTTGTGTTTAAACAGGACAGTAATTTCACACATACTAAGCACAAGGCACCACACACAAGTGCAGACAAACACAGTATGCACAATTTTAAGGGATGCTTGACTTACTTATGCTATATAGGGAGAAATGCACTGAAAATACTTGTACTTAGCAGTAGTACAAAAACTGGAAAAACTGGACAGAGTAGGTAATATGTTTTCTACTGGATTAAAAAATGTGACTGTAGAAGAGACAAGATATGATTCATTTAAATGAAGACATTTACATCTGAGTTGCTATAGGCTTCCTTCATAGTTGAGAACTAGGTATGTTTAGGATGGAGTTCACCCGGCCTGTGCTAGATATCTCCATCTGATCAGGTGAATGCACCCCAGAGCCAGATGCTGTTGAACCTCATCAGGTTGTGTAGAATGCAGGACTGTCCTCCTGTTGAGTGAAGACTCCCATGATTTCTTGTTGTGCAGCAGAAGACACAGTATTTTAAATCTTAACAATCCTAGACTGCTTTTTCTCAGACTGTAGGCCAGGATCAAAAGGGAGGTCAGGAGACGATTTAGAGAGCCAGGCTGGCAGCATGTTAAGCATCATCTCCTTTCCCTCCTCTGGGAAGAGTGGCAAGGGATCACTGTTACCACTTGCAATAATTTGTATTAGCCAGGGAAGGAGCTAATTTCCTTTGACTGCTGATAGCTCACATCTCTTCCAGGGCACAAGAGTGAATTTTTTCTGCCTCTAATACAAGCGAGCTGCCAATGCTCAAGGGTCTACAAGCACTGAAAGGGAACTGTGTTTTCAAAGCATTTGAGAACCTCCACCCCAGCTGAGTGAGGAAATTCCTGATGACATCAGACACAAAACTCTTCCAACTCCCGTGCCATAAGACTGCCCTGTAAATGCCACTATCAGGGGAATAAAAGATCAGTGTTCCTCTGCCTAGTTTTGAGGCTCTGGGTTTTGCAAAAAGAGATTTGTGTACTAGGCCATTTAGAATACCTATTTTGGACTGTAACTCTGAACTGTCCTCTGGACAGACTACTCTCACTGCACACAGTACCTGTTGTCTCCTAAATAGAATGCATAAATTCCCCACCATACACACCAAGAAAGGCAGAGAAGATCTGCCCATGAGAAAAAGCTCTAAGCAAATTACCCAAATAAGAAATTGGGACAACTGACTTACATATAACAGGGAAATACTTTTTTTCAGTTGATATTTTTTTTTCTCTTCAGATGTTTAGGTAATGATGATTCATCAGTATGGGAAATCAACACATCTTTAAAATAAATTTGAATGTGGTCACGCCATCACTGGTGTATATTCTTTCAGTGCTGCTCAGTTCTCCTCCATTTCCCATTGTTGTTGATTTCCATTGCATAATTACTACGTTACAGCACTTCATAGAAGTGGAAAGCAAAATACTGCAGGCAGAGAATAAAGTTTTAGACTGCAGTATGTACATCAAATCCTCTCAAAAGCTGGAAACCTACAATTACACGCTGAAATGTTGCCTCACTTACCAACTGATATGGTCCAAACAGCAATGATTTTGGCAAAAGCCTTGGTTCTGGAGTTGAAGCGGCTGTGGTGGATGGGGTTCCGGATGGCAATGTAGCGATCCAGCGAGATGGCACAGAGGTGCATGATGGATGCTGTGGAGAACAGCACGTCCAGGTAGATCCAAATGGCACACAGCTTCCTGGGCAGAGGCCATTCGTATCCTGCACAAGACAAAGTTGGCATCAGCTAAAGATGTGGATATATCCCTTGTTGTGACACATGCCTTAGTGCATATATCCTTCTAGGAGGATAGTAGTAAGTACTAAGTAGTAGTAAGTGATACATTTAGGAGCTGCCTGACACTGTTTTAAGAAAATATTTTTATTTGTTTGCAACCTTTTAACTGTAGCTTTTGGGGTTAACTCTGCTTCTTTCCCAGGCTACAGGCAGCATATGTGTTTTCTTTTAAATTCTATTTGCATAATGCTAGTGCTTGGTGCTATGATTAAACATTTTTGGCAGCAAATCTATGAAAAGAGAAACAATTTTGTCATTGTAAATCTGCAAGTTCTCAATTTTGCTTTAGGACTTTCTATCCACGTAATTACTGCATTTTCAACACCCGCTGATATGCAAAGCTGCCTTAATTCTAAAAGTAAAACTTTGGATTTAATGGAAGCTAAAGAAGAAAAATTATTTATTGCATATCAGTGATATTTATCTCACCTGTCTTTAGGCTTCTACCACATACCTAAATAAGGATATTCCCTCTGTCAATGAATATTGATAGGCTCCTCCAGGGAAAGCAAGCCAAAGCAGATGCATTAGTGTTTACCAATATCCAACCTACAGCTTCTTTGCTGCTAATTAAGCCCTTACTTTTTCCCTGTTTTTTCCACTATCTATGAAGATTAATTGATTACTTTCCTTTCTCAAAGCTGTTGGGAGATGGCTATCACGGCTTGCCTAGTTTTGTGTTTATTTTTTTGTCTTCCAGTCTAAGAAAAGCCTAGTACTTTATCTTTTTCTTACAGATGATGCTTTTAAAACTTTTTTCCTTCTTCTTTTTCTGCCCTGGAATGCATTTAATTTATCTGCATCTTGTATATCCTTCAGTGACTAAAAGAGGACTCCGTACTCTTGCAAAGGCCTCCTGACTGCTAAGTGAAATACAAGACTTCTTCACGGATCTTGAAGCGAGTGTCTTTACTTATACAACCTAGAATGGTAAGTGTGGTAAGTGTCTTTTTAATGCAAATATCATGCTAGTGAAGGACATTTAGCTAATGATACATTTTGACAGCCAGATCTTGTTCAGCATTCTTGAAGGCCGGACAAATTTCACCAGCAGAAGCTGGTTTGCTTCTTTACCTTTGCACTTATCCTCACTGAATGTTGTTTGTTGGTTTCTCTTCAGGGGTCCAGATTCTTGTTTATGATTCTCATCCTGTCCCTCTGAGTGCCTGTAACCTCTCCCAGCTTGGTGCTTTTGGAAAGCTGTGTAAGCTCTCACTCTGCACACTATACATGTTGTTCAGAGCAGTACTGAGCAGACCCAAGCTAAGCAGAGCCCTGCAGGACCCCCATTCAAAATCCCTTCTATTCCTGCAGGGAACCACTAATAGCTCTCCTTGGAGCAAGTTTTGCAGTTGTCTTGTAGTGATTTAATTCAGAGGATATTTACCCAAGCTGCCCATAATAGTGTGGCATGGAACAAAGCCAAAGCTCATATTGTGAGAATATGTAAGTATTTTGGGGACTGCCTGTCTTCTTTTGGAGATACAGTACAAGATTTGCAACAGCAGGAATGGAATGAGAGGTGAAGGAGGTAGGTCTGCACCTAATTACATTTAGTCTCAGTGAGTACTGAGGAGACCTATTTCTTGCTGTTCTTGGGTTGCTGTAATACAAGCTGACCCTGACAAGCCATACAGCAGTTATGGATGTATTTTATCATGTTTTCTGCTCTTCTGTTGGGAAGTCTGGTCCCTGGAGTGTGTTATGTGATGGCTGGCTTTCAGGGGCATGACTTCCCAGTAGCATCTCTCTGTCAGGCCAGGCCAGTTTACACAGGGAGAACCATTAAAGTATTTTTACATTTGACAACATACATCTTCTCTTGCTCCAGTGACCTTTGGGAATACATTTGTCATATCCTTCTAGACTTCTCATCTTTGCAGTAGACCAGGATGGGGCAAGCATAAAACAGTATTGGTATATGAGAGGAGAAAACTCTGGATGCAATAAGGTGCCCCCTTAATAAGGGTGTAGATAACATCTTCCAGGAAGTTTTCTGCTCTGGAGTCATGCCCACCTTGGCAGGACTTACTGGGTGCTGCCTTTTCCAGCAGTCTGGGGCTGCTGGGTGGATGGAGAACCCTGCCCAGCCCAAAGGGTGCAGACTGGCAAAGGCACATGGCTGGCTGGCATGGCTGGGCACCCAAACCAGAATTGCCCACAAGAAAATCATCTCTGGACAAAGCAATCACCATACCCCTTCAAGGGGCTGCAGGAGGAGTGGTGGGGCACTGGGCACTCTTCTTCCTCAGGCTTGGAGGTGTCCTGGCAGAGCAGGTGTGTGCAGAGGCCTCCAGTTTGAGCTCGACTGTCAGCATAGGTGATGAGGCTGAAGTTGAGCAGCTGTGGCCAAGAAAATGCTCCTGTGGAAGGGGAGGTTTCCCTACATGCCAGCACTGATCATCCTGGAGGTTGATGGTGCACCACACCACGATGGTTCTCCTGGTACCACTGCGTGCCACCAGATGAATTTTCACCCCAAGTTATGCAGCTTCCATGGCTGGTCTAGCAGGGAAGAAGCAGGAGAGAGGCGGCAAAGCCGGCGCAGCCGCTCCCCGGTGCCCCGGCCGTCTCCGGCAGGGCGGCGCAGCCTCGCCCGGCCCAGGGGCTCCGGCTTCCCGGCGTGAGGGCTCGGCATTCACGCCCGGGCCCAGATCCCTCCCCAGACACGGCTCCGGCGCCTCCTCCCTCGGCAGCGGAGCCCGGCCAGCAGGAGTCCCTGTTGCTTGTCTCAGGGAATCGCGCACGACTCTAATCTCACCCATCGGACAATTACTGCTTCACGGCGCTTCTCCCGCCAAAGATAATCGCACGCTAATACGGTAAATCAGGGTGTTGCACCATGACTGATGCCAAATGCGGTCAGCAAATGCTACTGAGGGCGATCTGTGTAGAGATACTGAAAATGGAAAATAAACTTCCAACTTTCTGGATTAAAACTCCATTAAGAACAAGCCCATGTTTGGACCTTAAGTCCAAAAGTAGTGAAGTAATAGAAATCTTTCCAAACCATCTACTTTTCTCCTGACAATGTGTAGCTTCTCTTTGAATTGCAGAAATTCAGTAGCATTGGAAGGCTCATTTCTGAAGTTTAAGGACAGTAACAGCCTGACAAAATTGGTTCTGAACACATAGGGTGCTGCTTGTTCTGGCATGAGCTGTGCTGCAAGTTATTTTGGTGAAAATTAGAAGAAAGATCTGCTATTAATCACCTGCAAGGGCATGAACTGTGAGTCACTATTAACTTAAGTAATTTCTCTTAAGAAATAATGGTTTTGCATTTGTAAATGTTACTAAACAGACAGAAAGCCCATCCATTTCTTAACTCCTGCAATATTTATTCCAGCATTTGCTAGTAAGTAGATGTCTAAGCAGGATATTGGTGATAAGAAAACAATTTACATTTGTATTATTAACTAATTAAGGAGGCTGCCTACTTTGAATCTAAAAGCAGTCATCAGTGTTTCAGTGCATATTTGCAGAGGAAAGTAACTGGCAGGACCCTACATTCTCATTGGGAATATGAAAATTATGAGCCAGGGAAAAAACCTGAAAGCAATAGAAAGAATAAAGCACCTTCATATACACTTTGAGACAATTCATCTGACAACTGAGTAATAAACTGATGTTATGGACTGTGTTTAAAATGCCTGTAGCTGGAAATACAAAATAGGAAAAGATTCGAGTTCTTCACCTGTTCCACCCATTAACCAGTGACACACATTTCAATTTATATGGAGTGATAACAATTTTCTGTAGTAAGAGAATGAAATCATAATGAGAACAAGATGTTATTGCATGCAATGTTTAAGGCTTATCAATACATGCAGCAGTTACACAGCTAATACTCACCATACAGTATGGTTAACATGGACACAGGCATGACAAGGAAACCCAGCAGCATGTCAGCTATTGCAAGTGACATTAGAAAATAGTTAGTGGCATTCTGTAGTTTTTTCTCCAGTGAAACAGCCATGATGACGAGAATATTTCCAGCAATGGTTAAAACAATCACTATCACTGTCAGCAAAGCTGGCCAGTTTTTCTGTGAAGAGCAGCACGGTGGGCTCATGTTATTTTCACATGAAAGATTGGTTAGGTTGTCAGAGTTCACAGTCAAGTTGCAGAGATGTGATATATTAATTTCTCCAGCTCCATAAACATTTCTGTAGAATCTTCTCTCATGGTTTATTTGTATGAAGGAGTTTGCAGTTGGGTTCACAGAGCTCTCTCCATCACAAAGAATATCCATTGCTAAGTCCAAAACCACAGAGATAAATTGTGAAAAACAGGAAATTATCACCCTTTGTCACCATTGGGCATTATATTCCTCAGCTCTCCATGCCAGAAGTTGAGGGTGCACAATCTTTTGTCGACTGTATTTTTGCCACCGGTGCAATGAAGAAAAACATACCAGAATAACTCCAAAAGCTGAAATGTTTTGTTTTCAGTTCCAGAGGAAGTCCAGTGTTAGCATATATTGAACATCCAGCTGAAAAGTAAAACCGGGCTGTAGGATACAGAATGTGGACTTGAGGCTTCAGAGAGCAAAAATGTTGGAGAAATAAAAGACATAAAACTTTTGCAACCACTAGGACTCCCCTCTGGAGCTACATCTTATTGCTATTGGTAACTGCTATCACACAGTTTTAAACACAGCAGTATTAAAATATCTTGCTGTATTAAACAGCAAAGCTCTTGCTTCTCTATTAAGAAAGTTGATTAATGATTCCATCCAGCATCTTTTTCTTGAAATAATTAAATATGCTCTTATTTATAGTGCATCTTCCATAATATGGCTGATAGTCTCTGTCTTCTGTTGTATTTCAGAACCATTTTCAGCCTCATATCAGAGAATACACATTCTGCTCCATGCTGATTTTTGTAGCTAATTGTACCTTTTGGCCCAGCATGGCTTCAGAATGGAAATTAAACAACTAGATACTGTTATAAAAGAATACAATTTAAGGAAGACTTACATTGCACTTCAGAGCCCAGTTTCAAACCGCAAACAGATGCACTTTGCACCCTGGTTTACAATATTCTTCGCTGTGTTTAGCCAGTTCTGTGTCTTTTTTCTTCAGCCTCCTCCACAAGGTGGTATTTCAAATAGTTTTTTGACTTCTAAACTGCACACTTGAGTGAAGCCAGTTCCTGTGCTGCGAGGCTTGCTCTTTTCTTCTGAGAGATAGGCTGCTCGCCGGCTCTTTCCTTGTGCATTTCCCCGCCCCAGGGCAAGCTATATTTAAAGTAATAATAATATCAGAGCCCTTCTTGAAGTGACACAAAGGAAAGTGCGCGCACACGCTCCTGAGAAAGCAGCCTGCACGGAGGAATTACTGATTGCAACAGGAATGGAATTTCTCCCTTGCTGCCTTGTTCGGATCGTCAGACCTCCCACTCTCTGGATGTCAGAAACTGCAAGGTAGCAACAGCAGAGGAGGGCAGGGGAGGGCAGAGCAGAGAGGGTCTTTTTGGTAAACCAGCAGCTTTTTCAGTGCTTGTTTAAGAGGTTCTCTGCTTGGGGGCTTTTTCAGCACACGCTTTCAATTTGCAGCGGGTGGCTCACAAACAGCTGCATGCAATTACAGGGATTTACAGGATGCAGGCTTGAGAGAGGCAAAATCTAAGGCTTGCAATGGTAGATACTAGTGAAATATGTAAGTGAGAAGTTTTTTCCCTAAAGAGGGGAAATTCCACCAGCCTTAAAAGGCAGGCATAATATTCAGTCCCCTTCAGTTTTAACTCCAGGTCTGTGCTGACATATGAATCAAATTGGTAATAGATATTTATAAAAAACTGGAGTCACTCTGATGTCACACTCTTTTGTCAGGAGACAGATGTAACTGCTAACTCCAGCAGCCTGTCCCAAGCAGGCATCCCGAATGAAACAGTTCTGTAAAGCAAAGTGTGTGTAGAACAAAGGGAAACAAAACAGCCTGATACTGCTTCTGCCTTTTACTTCTGCTGCCTGGACATTCATGAAGAAATAGCCAACTCTTCCATTTTCAACCTAAAAAAAACCAGCTCCCAGACTTTCTGAGACTTAGAGTTGTCAAAAGTTTTGCTGAGTCTGCTGCTCACCTGCACATCCTGAAATATATTACAGACTTCCCTCAAGGTGGGGACAATGGCTTTAAACAGGCAGGCTCAGGCAGTTCACAGTGAGAGCTCAGAGAGGTGCCAGTGTCACTGGGCACCCGTGGGCCCTGGCAGATCCTTGGGAGCAGCAGGCTGCTCCCATAGCTCAGCTCTGTGTGCAGCACTGATAACCCTGCTGCAGATCCTAGGGAGCTTCAGACACATGTAGCCTTACTAGACATGTGCTAATCCCTTCATGGACCCAAAACCATACCAGAGTCTCAGGGCACACACTGAAGCCCATTCAGATCAGTGGGGCACAGTTACAGAAAGCCTTTCACAGTAAAGTTTTTTGGATCCAGTTTTACCCACACGTGAACCCAGCAAGACTGAGCACATGAGGCAGTAGCTCCCACTAATGCCCATGTGGGCCTTGGAAATGTGTCATGGCAGTGCTAAAGTTTCCCAGTCCCACAGGTGAGGCCAAAAGACTATCAGACAACACAAACTGGTGAAAAAAAAAGGTGATAATGCTGAGTTTAGCAAGAAATGTTTAGGCCCTGGCAGTCTAACCCAGAAGCCAGATGAGAAACTTTCCTCTCTCCTTTCATACAATAACCAAATGGGTTAGTGTGTTCACCAAGTGAATTTGGCATCCATGCTCCAGACGGTTTGGTGCCCATCCCCACAAATGTGAGAGTGCATATCTGATGCAGAGGGTGGGCTCTACTTCTGCTGAATGCAGCCACTGTGCAGAACAGGGCTCAGGACCCCTTGGCTAGGGCTGCACACCACCTTTGTGAGGAGCCCAGGGGTCCTGCTGCTTTCTTAGAAGGCTGGCTCTGGGCCCTGACAGCTATAGCGTAGCAGTCATGGGTGTGTCATGGGTGCCACTCCTAAGAAAGAGTAGCAATATGTTTGTTGATACAACCCAGTGATTTTGCCAAGCTTCATGGTAAATGTGAGAAGGGTTTAATAAGATCTGATGACAAGGCGCACTTGATTATTTATGGCGTAAAGGACAGGATCAGACAAAACAGGCAGGGGGAGAGACTCTCCTGTTGAGTCATGAGGCTCAGAAAAGACCTCCTTGTGTTCTAAACTCCTTCTTAGAAGGGAGTTTATGTGTGCCTAATTCCAAACTTAGACTTAGTACACAGTTTATATCTGAAGGATTATATGTGCACAATCAATCTTTTGTGTCACTTAGCTAAGATTTCAGTTTAGCATGCTATTATTCATTTACTGAGAATCTCTTGAGTCAAGGGATCTCTCAACTCTGAGGAGTAACCTTGAGAGCTACTACTCAAAGCAAAGGCCCTGGCAAACAGTCCACTGCTCTGCAGGAGAGATCAATGAGCCCTGGCTGTTCACTATTTATGAAGTAAGATAATTGACTTCTTGTCATATTTGCATACCAGCTACAGAAGTTAATTTCTTCCAAACTTGGCCTGAGCTGGACCTTGACAAACAGTATGGTTGGGGGTGTGCAATGACTCATTTAAAACTGCAGCTCTACTCAGGATATCAAGAACATAAAAGCGAAGTACAAGTCAGCTGAATGTTGCCTTTCCTAAGACCTTTGCAGCTACAGTTGTAAGCTCTCCATTTAAGGGCTGCACTGTTCACTTTGGTGTAGCTGTACACACAGGAGTATCTACCACAAGGTCTGAGTACCTTCTGGAAACTTAGCTTTCCTGACAGAAAGCAGTTTGGCATATGTGAAACTGAGGCACAGACATATTAAATTTTCTTTTAGGTTTGCACAGGAAGCATTGATAAATCAGAAACCAGTTTTGTGCAGGTTGACATGTCAGAAACAAATTTGTGATCTTACATCCTCTCGCAAGTGTGTTGGATGTGCAACTGATCATGAGTTTATTGTATTATTTATCTCAGGATTTTTATTTCATTTTGCAAAAGTTACACATCTCACCTTCTCCCAAGAAGCTGAAAATTGCTCTCCTTTCCATATAGTATCACTGCAGGTATCAAGCAAAAGAGTGTCCAATCTTCATTTGCAGAGCCCAACAAAAAGATGGTACTAGGGCTCTCATCCATCTGCAAAACCAAGCGTGAGCCCTACCTTGAGAATTCGGTGTGGAACAACTCCTAGGTGATCAGTCATGTCCAAACCAGCCTTGACCACTGCTTTTCCTCAAGGTGGAAAGCTCAGGGAAGGTGTAGGTGCCACGTTCTTCCACTTTAAACCAAGGAGCTTGCAGGTGGAGAGCAGCAGAGCCCTGGATGCTGCGACCTGCAGTCCCAGGCAGCGCGTCTGCGCTAAGAGCAGGCAGCTGCGCTCTGCCCCAGCCCGTGGAAATTAAGTGGAATCTTAGCTTAAAATGGCAATAATGTGGTTGTGGTAGACAGAAAGCAGTCTCTGGAAACACAGCTGGCATGGGAACAGACTGCATATTGCTTTTTAATTTCTGGAAGGCACCAATGTAACAAATTCATGACAGCCCCTCCCCTGTTCCCTAGCTCTGCTTGGAAATTTTTTGTAGGACATTATTTTGTTCTCTTCAGCAGGGATTTTATGCTTGGCATGGTGCACATAAACACTTCCTAGAAAGGCTGCTTTTCAACAATTTTCATCTGAAAGTGGAGAAGTTAAAAATCTAGTTTACATAATTCAAATTTGGTGTTCTCAGGATTGTTTCAGGCGTAAAAATTCCCAATTTCTGAGCTTGCCATTGCTCTCTGGCATTCTGAATAGATTTTGTAATCAGTAAATGTAGGAGTAACTGAGGATGTTAATCAATCACTCTGATGTCTATAAGTGAGGCAAGTGAAATGTGAATAATTTGTGTTGCTGTTGAGACTATTACAGTTTGGTGTCTCTGTTTGCATTTATCAGAGGCTGTTGGATGTGAATCAGAGGCTAGTTATTACAAACCAGGACTAATAACTCAAAACCCTCCTCTCTTTTTGATGCAGTTAAGTTCATTCTGGACCTCTCAGCCTTCTAGACCCATGCCATTGTAGTGAGGTGAGAACAGCTTGACATGAGCCTTCTGAAAATCAAGCTGGAACTGCATCCCTCATCTCAACCTTGCTGTTCACAGGTGATGGTCCTGAGCAAGCTGGGTGTTGCAGCACCAGAGCACTGTGTCCTGGTGACTGTAAAGCCGAGGTGAGTAACTGCCATGATGTTGTAGGAGTCTTTGCTGTGAAACAGGATGTCTGTAATAATTTGCTCTGAGTTGCTTTTGAATGACAATGGAGTATTAGAATTTGAGGCTGAAGGGAAAGCTGGAATAACTCAGTCCAACTACAATTTCCAAGTAAAAAGAAAATATGCATATGTATATATATATATATATTTATATATATAACTCAAGCTCTCTAAATTTTTTGTCTATCCCACACACTAATTCTAGTTTCAATCTCTGTTCAATCCCAAGTGAAGCTGAATTCATAGCTTGCTTTTAAAAACCTGATTGTCTCATTCATCCATGTGTTTTGGAAAGATGTGCCATATTCCTGAAGATTTGTAGGGTGTCATCCTTTCCAACCACATTATTAGTTCAGGAACTACAAGTTCCTGTGCATACTTACAGTGCCAAGGGGAAGTAAAATGTGAAAGAGAACCCAGAGCACCTTAAGACATCTTTTATCTGCCTAAACCCATGTACTGGGGTCAGATTGGTAACACTGTACCTTCAACCCCTTTAGGTTGTGTCATTCCAGTGGAGCTCAATAGAATTACTGTGGCATAAAACTGATGGAATGATTAGTTGGCTGGAAATTAGAGTCAGAATTATTTATTTTTCTCATGTGCTATTTTACCCATTTAAAAATTTCTCTCCCTGTATCAAAATTTCTTAGTGGGAGGAAAATTTATGAAGGATTTTGATTTGGAAGCATCCAAATATATTGCTTCAGTCTTGTTGTTCTAAATATGATACTTTAATATTGTTGTATTAATAATATTTTCTTATGAGCCAGCTAACCAGCTGTGATGCAAATTGTCTTATTCCCAGATTCTCCTGGGCAATTTATATCCACCATGACAGCACACCCAGAGGCAGTTTCAAGTTGAACTGATTTGAAATAATATATTCTTGTTCAGCTAAAAAATAAACTGAAATATTTGGTTTGGGTCAAACCCATGTATTGAAGAAAATACTTTGGTTTTTTTTTTTTCCCCAGAGGAAACCTGAATGCTTCAGGCAAAAGCGATTTGATTTTTCCTTGAATAAAAAGTTGATTTGTGCAAACTTTATTTCCCAACAGAGACTGA